GACATCATCAGGAAAGGAGACATAGCCCAGGGGAAAGGAGCCCTCTAAAGCTCCTCTGGACTCCTAAAAGTCATGTGGATAAGTGAGCATTTGCTTTGTATTTCCAATGGGGTTTTTAATTAATTAATTAGTTAAAGGAAAACGGGATTAAGTGAAAGAACAAAGCAGCGTCTGTTCTCAGAAAGCTCCAGAAAAAAAGACAGGAAGCCTCAAAACAAAATGTTTGAACCAGGCTGGTCCTGATCCCATATCTGGATCCGATCGGCCACTGATATTTGCAAAAAAATATTTGAGAAAATGTAGATCCAGACTCCAGATCCATTTTTTTTTCAAAGTCCCACCCACTCGAGCATTAGCATTAGCGTTAGCATCTGTAACCCACAGGTCTGTCTCCTAACCATTAAGTTGCTATCAGAGTAAATCCCTGTTCAACATGAGTCTGACAACTAAGTAAGTAGATAAATAACTTTAGACTTTAACACATGCTCTGATAGGCCGGGATCGGATCAGAAAGCTGGATGGGAACATCCCTAGTTTGAAGGCATCCCAACAAAAAAGGCTCCATTTGTGCCGGTTTTTGAGGTTTTTCCACCAGAGATGTGACCCTCTTTGTTCAATAGTGCATAAATAGCTATCACAGCTTACATTTGGGATGGGATTTGATTTTTTTCTTTGGCTTTAAAAGGTTTTTATTGATTTTTTTCAAGGAGGTAATAAAACCCTAAACCAACCATTAGCATTAGCATTAGCATCTGTAACCACAGGTCTGTGTCCTAACCATTAAGTTGCTATCAGAGTAAATCCCTGTTCAACATGAGTCTGACAACTAAGTAGATAAATAACTTTAGACTTTAACACATGCTCTGATAGGCCAGGATCAGAACGGATCAGAAGGGAAAGAAGCTGGATCGCTAGTTTGAACATTTGGAACTGCTGCCAGGAAAGAAAAGGGCTGTTCTCCGTCTCCGAAATGTTTCCTTAGAAGAAAAGAAGCAAGGAACAAAAGCAGGAAGCGTTGAGACTGAGTCTGGACATTCATGAAGGCCGGAATACAAGCATCTGATTGGCTCTCAGGGGGGCTCAGGTTTGGGCTAAAGTGACTCCAGAGAAGCAAACAAAGCAACAAAGCTGTTTCTTTCTGGACTTAAATGAAACAGAAGCTGGTGGTTGGATCAGTGACTGGAATAGGGATGTTTAAAGTTATTTATCTACTTACTTAGTTGTCAGACTCATGTTGAACAGGGATTTACTCTGATAACAACTTAATGGTTAGGACACAGACCTGTGGGTTACAGATGCTAATGCTAATACTAATGTGGGATCTGACTTTAAACAAAAACTGGATCTGGAGTCTGTATCTTTTTTTTGTTTTTCTCCTGGCCTAGACTGAAATCTCTCCATTTCTGACCTATGAAGGCCTCAGGTGACCCATCTCACCTCCTCCATCCACCTGGGTCCATTTTATTCCTGCTGTTTATCTTTTATTTTTTACCACCTACCATCCTAACAGCGTTAATCAACCGTAAATCAGGGTTTACTCTCTAAAAATAGTTTATTTCACCTTTCTAAAAAGGAGAAAAACAGCTTTTAGTACACACTAAATCAGTACAAACCTATTTAACCTATTTAATAGAGTTTGATTCAGTGTTTGCAATATTCATTTCACTATTTTTAAATTAATGTCTATATTGCCATGAAGCAATTAGGATTTTCTTGCCTGGGATCTTCCTATTGGTGACCTAATCAAAATGGCCGACTTGGATGTGGGGGAGTCGTATCTCCATCCTGGGCCTCCTGCATGTGGTTTACTCTCTAAAAATGTTTTATTTTACCTTTATAAAAAGGAGCAAAACAGTTTTAGTACACACTAAATCTCTCAGGCTGCGCTCTGCTTTTAGGGGGAAAATAGGTTTCAGACTCACACTGAGGGTTTATTTTTCCATTCTTTCACTTAATGACACACAACCAACAAATGTTGGACTGTTTGTCAGGCGGCGAGAGGAAAAAATAGCAGAGGAAAGCAGCACATCCAGACTTTTCTACGACATTTGACCTGAATTCTGACACAAATAGTCAGCAGTGGAGGCTCCAATGAGACTTTAATCTGGATTTAGTTACAGACCGAAACTACATTTGCTGACATTTCAGGCTCAAAACACTCTTCATTTGATCTCTAATCTCCACCAAACTGCTCTTACTCAGCAGTGATGTTTTAATAGCTGCTTCATATCAGTTTATTGTTCATTATACACAAGAGATTTGAAAGCTCTTTTAAGCGTATTAATCTTCGGCACATGAAAATGGCCAAGTCATCCCTGAATGACGTGATTATGAAAACAGAGGCAGAAATAAGTCATAAAACCACTTTAAACTAATCCTGACGGATGCCCTAAAAGAAATGTAACAAGCTAAATACAAATATTACAAAACAAACTGGCACAAACAATACAAATAGAATAAAAACTTTCATTTGAAGGGATTTAAACGGGTTTCTTTGAGGGCTAAATGAGAAAGATGCAGACGGAAAAGGACACAAATCCATTTAGAGTTAGTAAACTCGTGTCTAGCTGATGTTAATTCTGACTTTATGTGCATACCTACACATCAGTCCTCCATCCAACCTGCCCAAACTAGCAGCCGAGGGAGGAATGTGTATGAAACAAGCCCCCCAACAGCCTGTCCTCCCCTTTACTCCCAAACCAACACTCAATCTTTTCTCCATCAGAACCCCCAAAAAAGTGATTCATTCAGGATTATTGCAAGATCTCAAATTCCATAGATTGAAGGATTTCCTGTCATAAGGGGAGTTTTGTGATAAAAAAGTAATATAGGAATTGGAGAGAAAAAATGCTCTCAAAACCAAATTTGAGGATTCCTTTTCCACTGTTTTGCATAAATACATTTTGAATCTTTCTGGGTGCAATACTCAGACTGGGGCTGTTCGGTGATGGAGATGAGGGATTATGTAACCACAGCTTCCTCCTTCCTCTAAATTTAATTGGATCGGCTGTCTGCTGTTTCTCCGCGATGCCATTTCAAACTCACCCCTAACAGGAGGCACCATCTCCTCTCTGGTCTCTGCTCTGCTCTCCTCTGGCTTTGGCACAGCTTTAACAACCTAATGCAGGTTCGGGAAAGGTCAGAAAGAGGCCGGCCGGCGTCTAAAACGAGGATTTAACATAATCCTGAGAGACAGAGCCACCACACCCAGCTGCAGGAGCCCAGCTGGACACATGTGGACATTTCTAACTCACCTCCAGGACTCAGTTCAGCTCACCTGGGCCCTGTCTGGGTTTTCTCTGTTTATATGTTTTAGTGTCAAACAAAAGCAACGGAAAACAGCCCCCATCTGGTGAAAGACTAAATTAAATCAGGTCTTTGTTGTTAGTGTTTCATAGCGTTTCAGGTTCAGGTTCAGGGATGGAAACTGATGGGAAATTCTGTGACTCCCTCAGATATTTGGTCAGTTTTAGGGGTGTTGGACACACCTATTTACCCGGTTTATCCTCAAAAGGATACCGTTTAATGTCGGATATTAATATAAGGTCACAAGATTTGGATATGAGTCATTCACCAGTGACTTATTTAATGACAAATGAGCAGCAGATTTGGTCATAGCTGTCAGATCTGGGTTTTAGGTCAAAGAAAAAAAAGCATATTTGTCCTGACAAACCAAATTAAGCCCAAATCTTCATCATTTTGACACACAGTCACACCAACCTAAAAGACATCAAAAGTAAACTAACCAAGGACTGCACAAAAGAGATAAAACGGCTCAG